CCATGTTTTCTCCACTCCCCTCTCAGGATTTTGAGTACATATGCACATGTCCCTGGTGTGTTTTTCAAGATATTGGGTCAGGGACTCAACTGACAGTTGGCCATATGAGATACAGCTGCCTTAAACTCCGTACTATCTGGTGGCACTACCCTCAAATCTTTAAATAAAAAAGTATTTTATATTTCGACTTTTCATTGCTATTAAGTTTTAGGCATTATCTACTGACATTCCTGGGGGATGATAATTTATTTTTATTCTCCATACGTACAAAGTCCTCCCTAACCCTTGTTATAGATCTTAAGACTAGATCACTATGTAAGCTTTACATTTCCATAACAAGTAAATATTATATGCAGCAGAATGAGAAAATATACTATAGTTATACTTACTTGTTTTAAAATTTTTCTTTATTCATGATGGAGCACATGTGCTCACACATGAGGGAGAGAGAGGGAGGCAGGAGCACTCTGCAAGGGTCTAGACATGCTGTGAGCCCCTTTCTCTAATTCTCTGGCACAGTAGTCCCCAACTTTTTTGGCATCTAGGACCTGTTTTGTGGAAGATGATTTTCCCACTGATGGGGTTGTGGCAGTAGGGGGGGGGTGATTTTGGGATGATTCAGGCACATTACATTTACTGTGCACTTTATTTCTATTATACTGTAATATCTAATGAAATAATTATACAGCTAACCATAATGCAGAATCAGTGGGAGCCCTGAATTTGCTTTCCTACAACCAGATGGTCCCATTTGGAGGCTCCCATGAGAATCTAATGTCACTGCTGATTTGACAGGAAATGGAGCTTGGGTGGTAATGCGGGCAATGGGGAGTGGCTGTAAATACAGATGTAAATACAGATGAGGCTTTGCTTCCCTACCACTCACCTCCTGCTATGTGGCCCAGTTCCTATTAAGCCACGAACTGGCACCAGGGTTGGGGATCCCCACTCTAACACACTGGGTCTTGGGTGCTCACATGTGTGCCTGGCACATTTCAGACTGACTAGGCTGGGGGTTCAAACTGTGGTTGCCATGTGGGGGTCAGGCCTCTATTGAGGATTACAGCTGACCCCATTTATTTTCTTATATAAAAACTATTTTCTCCAGTATTACTCCTCCTTTCCCCCTACTTGCATAGTTTTCTAGGTGTCTATCTCATCTATCAGTTGATTTTCTTACAAAAGTATGAGTATCCCTTTCTTGAAGTAGCAACATCTGACATTTCATAAGCTTCATCTTCTTAGACAGTTAACTTGGTAAATAGACTGTAGCATTTATAGTGGCTACTCAGATCACTGATCTTACTTCTAGGCTTTTGGATTCTTCACTAGCAAATAACAATGGTAAACTTTGGATGAATAAAGTGCCACACATGTTCAGACTGTGGAGGCACAGCTCCTAGAAATCTATACAAATAGAGGATCTAAAATGTCTTTTTAGAAATATCTTCTTTTGGGACTAGCAGATGGCGTAATGGTTATGTTGCTTGACTCTCACGTAGTCAACCGTGTTTTGAGTGCTGGACCTGGTGACCTAAAACTCATGCCAGGCGTGTGTGTGAGTGCATGCCCCAAAGCAGGGACTATGTGCCCAAAAGAAGGGATTGCAGCATGGCCATGGGAGGGGGGTGATTTCTTGCTTCCGGTCTCACTGGGAGCATTCATGCTTTATAGCAAAAATCTCTAAAAACAAAACAAAATTCTTCTCTGGGATGAAGTCTTTTCAGGAGGTGCCACCCTAAGTTTTAATGTCTGTTACTTTTCTTTTTGTCTCCCTTTTTAACTCCTTTATCAAGATACTAATTTCTTTAGCATAAAATTCTGTAAACAATTTTTTTTTGTTTTTTAGAGATTTTTGCTATAAGGAATGTGCACTCACCTGAGAGAAAGAGAGAGACAGAAAGTGAGAAATCACCCCACAGGGAGAATGACAACATCCATTATCCTCTTGGGATTTTGGGCATGTGCACACATGTGCCCTGTGTGAGTTTCAAGCTTCTAGGTCTGAAACTCAAACCATGGTTGGTCAGTGATGTAACCATTACACCATCTGCTGATCTCAAAATTTTGTAAAATTCTTAATTGACATTAACATTTTCTCTAACTTTAAGGTATCAATACTTTCTTCCCATGTATCAAATGAGCAAAAGCAAAACAAAACAAAAATAACCAAAGAAACATTGCATCAATAATCATCTTGAAAAATCTGCCATGAAGATTGTATATGGCTGGTAGCATTAAAAGTGGTACAACACCTTTAGAATAGAATTTACCAATATTCAATTTTAATAGACCTGAATATATCACACTAAAATATTATGGTAGATCGAAACATGCCACCCTAAAATATGCTTCTGTAGCATGAAGATTATTTTGAGAAATAGCAGACATAGGAGAAGCTCTGAAAACAGAATAGCAGATAAACTTTCTCAAGAAAAAATTACATTTATGAAGGAAATTCCATTTGTACTCTGTGTTCCAGAAGAAAAAGATGACCAACCAAGTCACAAAAATGCTTGCCAATGGAGGAGGCACTGACTTAAATCTACATAACAAATCTTACTCTTGTTTCCAGTATTTTTCCTGGTCATCTCTGTATCAGAGGTTTCCCCCATAGCTTGCTTTGTGTTTGTTTGGAGATAGTATTTAAGTCTGAATTCTAAGTCACCTTTTTGAGAGTTAATCATTTTTTCCTAGGCATCTCTCATATATACATAAGGAATAAACATTTGCAAATTTCTTTTTGTTTTTCTCTTGTTAATCTGTCTTTTATTAAAGTAGGTTCCAGTGAAGAACACAAAGGGCAGAAGGGAAATTATTTTTCCCCTTCTACACAAGAGAACTATAAAACCCCTCATTTCTTTACCTGTCCAATTTCATTTAAAGGAAATAATATAAAACATGAAAAATGCTGTCTGTAACAAGGAAGGTCACAGTGATATTACCTGCAATACTGAAAAATTGGAAACAATATAATGTCCATTAATAAAATGGCTAAATAAACTGTGGAATATATTCTTTGCTTTTTACATACATGTAATGTGAAAAGTAATATTTACTGTAACAAAAACACAGGGTAACATGTTCAGGTACACTGCGATTACAACTAGAGAAAACATACACTTTGAGAACTGAAACCATCAACTCCCTGGACCTTATAGCTACACGTATTATCTAAGCATTCACTAGCACGACTATACCCTTCCAAGAGTCTCTTGTCCGAGAAAAATGAACTTTATTGTTCATAACGGAACTTCTCAGGAGACATGAATTTTTTACTAAAAAGAATAAATTGGACAACTAATGCTCTAAGCTTCTTTGAACTCCTTGACTTAAAATCCTTGCCTAGTCATTTCCACCAATTCCAAGCATTTACATCATGACCTTTACCGAATTCTAGTTAAGACTTACCATTGAAAGACCAACCTTAGGGGCCAGATGGCAGTGCAGTGGTAAAATGTGACATTCTGCTTGGCAGTCTCACATGGAAGGGCTGGTGGTTTAAGTCTGGGAACTTCTCCAAGTATTCTAGGCATGTTTTGGTCCATAATCTGGGGATGGATTATGATATTGAGACCCTGTGGGGAGTTCTTTTTCTCTCTTGCTCATGGTAGAAATATACTTAAAAACAAACAAACAAACAAACAAAAAAACCTTAAACAAAACTCCCAAGTTTCAATAAAATCTGATCTTGCCCTTTCCCCTTGAGACACTACCAAAGCTCTGCTGATATGGGGCTCTCCATTAAGGCAGTAGACAATAAACTGCCTTGTATTTTTAATAGATTGGGTTCATGGGAACCAAGAGTAAACAATAGAGAACAACTATGCACTACATTCATGTAAAAAAGACAAAAGGAACATGCAAAACCCATAATAGGTACATTAGGAGATTGGTATTCTGTCAATTTGTCCATTTTTCAAAATTTTTAAGTGGTGTTCTTACATAATGAGGGTGAAGCTTACTTCAATCAATAACTAAGAATTCATTGTGGGACAGACACTTTTTAATGTGTAAAGATCAAATAAAGGCAAAGCTTTGCAACTTGTTATTCTTTTTGTTGCATTTTGTAGAACAATCAATAACAATCCTGAGAGGAGCCTTCTTAGGTAGGAAACTGGCTATTCATATTGTAATTATGCTTGTAGAATCGAAATACTTATGGGCTCAGTTGTAATGAAAATGATCCAGAAAAGCTCTAAAATCACTTAGTTAATGTTGAGAAACAATCAGTATGACATTGACAACAGTCTTTAAATGGGTTTTGGCATTTAATGGGACAGAGGCTTCAGATAATGGTTTGCTTAGCACTGAGTTACATAAATGTCGTAAACCTAACACAGCATAGACACATCTCACAAAATTAAAATCCAGACTTTATTAACAGAAGTCTTATAGTCAATGGGTTTTGCAGTACTTGTCAAATAGATTTCCCATCATTTTATGAAGATCAGGGAATAGAGCTGGCATGTAAAGTGTGTCGCATCTGGCAAAGGTACCATTCAACCATTCCCTTGTACACCTGGAAATTTTGTATCCAGTTGTGTAATGCAAACAAACTTTGATGGTTTGACTTGTTAAAGTGGCTCTAACTAGTTCAGGTAAATGTTACCTTCTCCATAGGATATTAACCCATAGTGTTCCTTTTCAACCTTTGTTCTCTATGGCATAAATGGAGCTCTAGGGAGAGTAAAGTGCATCAACCAGGTCACAACATAACAAAAACAAGATCCATCAACAAAGAAACCTGACATTTTCACAAAAGCAAGATAAAGAGATTTATGTAGCTTCCATCCCAGGTAAAGACACATTGATGACAGGAATGAAGACAGAAATATTAAGATTAATCTGGTAATTTTATTTAATATTTACCATTCAGCAGCAACCAACATGAACATCTGCGCTAACAGAATCTCTTGAAATGTTCTGCTATAGAGCTGCTTCAGAAATACACGCACATGATAAATTCAACTGTTCACTGCCAAAAGGTTTTTTTTTAAAAAAAAATGGCTTCAAGAGCAAATAACACTGATTTATACTGTGCCCAAGCACTAGTCAACAAATCTATTAAATTACACAGGAAAAAGAAATCAAAGAAGCGTTGTTATCTTATGCATGTCATCTTATTTAAATGGAAGGGTTTACTTCTTTAAAGCAACAGAAATACAGAGCTTCCTGTGTGTGTGTGTGTGTGTGTATGTATATGTATATATATATATTTATATATATTTTTGCATGTGATTACAAACACAAAGTGTTATCATCAAAAGCAAAAGCAAAAGCTAATTCAAGAAATTTCCAACTGCAAAACTTGCAAGATACAAAGCTAAAATTCATATGTTCCTTTTCTCGATTATGAATAGTTTCACTAAACATAAATATTTTAACATATATTAATTTTTTGACATTCAAAATTGTAAAGTCAATATGGCAGAATTATTGTTAAAAGCACATATGTACAAATATTTTTCCATACATAAAGTATTTGGCATAATTATAACAATCATACTGCATCCACAACTGTTTGCTTTTATTTTTCCTTTTTTTTTTTTTACACATAATGGAATCTCTTATTAAAATTAACCAGTTATGTACAAAAATACTTGAACATTTATTATAGAAAACCTCTATAACCAGCCTCAACAGCATATACCTGCTGAATGGTTTCATTAAGAGAATATAAAAAAGTGGTCACTGCCTTCCAGGTAAGCTATCAACAAAACAAACACGGTTAAAATAAAATGAGCTTCCCAACAAAAGAGGGAAAATATTTAACAGTATGATTTAAAATACAGTCATATCTATTGTCAATCGAGTGTTATAAACAGTCAGTGAAAGAAAAAAACAAAGATACAAAATACATTGCTACATACAAGGTGCTTTTTTTCACAGGCCTACGACTGTGGCATTGGCGCCCCTATTGAGATCTCAGACGGTATGCTGCGATCCTGAAGCTAGCGCAGCCTAGGCCATCCTCCTTCAATAAAAGAACAACAGGAAACCAGCTCCACTGGTTATGGGGAGCCATGAGGAATTTTTTTTTTTTTTTTTTTTTTGTGCAGGATTGAAAGTGAATGCCTTTGCCTTTGGAAAGTCCTTTTGCCATTTAATCATGCTAATATAGTTTCCCAAAGATTTTTTTTTCTCTTCATTTACACTATTGATTGAATACTGTCCTGTATCGATTCCTGAATTCTTGTTAATGGGACACGGTCATTTGTGCCTATTTAATACTTGAACATCTGTTCTTCTTCAATGACAAATTATATCTAGGAAGCTAGCAAGGAAGGAAGCACAAAAATTCAAGTAAACACTTCTCCTGGGGACTTTTGCTTCATCTAGTTGATTGGAACTCTGAAAGCAAACTGCACCTTGAAACAAAATAAGAGTAGATACGGCGGTGACAGGGTACTAAAAGAGTGAGCAACCAATTCACAAAGCAGTTTCAAGAATGGAGACAGCTGTCAGACACGGAAAGCAACCTTAAAGAAGTAGTTTGTTTCAGTAACAAAACAACTTCCAGTCCCAATCCTGGCAACCCCTTTGGTGTATCTTCCAGCTAGCCCTGGCGAACCTTTAATGTCGAGGCTCTGCATTGATCACTGGGCTCGGAGGAAGAGCCAGAAACCTCACCTCGATTACGGAAGTCTTTTAGGGTAAGGTCCACTGTGTTAGGGTGTGCATTGACGTAATAAGCTTTATCAGAGTATCAAGTATTCAGTAAAAAGTATACAACATTATCACGCAGTGCATTGTTTGACAACATTGTATTGGTTTTAAGACTAAACTATGTAAAAAAAGTGAACATAAAAAGATACAAAAGGAGTCTGTATCACTATTTACCACTTTTCAAAGGAGAAAGGTTTTAATGAAATTCAACCATACTTCATGTAACATCTGGCGTTTTAGATCAGTAACTTCTACTATTGTGCAACATTATATTAATAAGCAAGTTCTAACTCCATTTAGAGAGAGATCTGAGTAAGTTATTAAAGTGCCTACACTAAATGTCTTGTCACCATTTTGTAAACGGCAAGGAATTCATCGCGGGTCACAGAAAAGCGACTTAGTTATAACTGCGAGACCTTCCTGGGCAGGGGCCTGGGCCTCGGGCCGGGCTCAGTCCTCCGGGTCCCATTCTCCAGGTGGCCGGATCGCGCTGCCAAGGGTTTGGGGGGCAGAGCGGGCGGCTCCGGCGTGACGGGGATGGAGAGGCTGTGAGGTAGCGGGACGGGGCGCCGCAGAGTCCGCTCGTACACGCTGTAGGGGGGCGGCGTCTTGCTCTCCTTGCGCACCGGCTCCTCCGGCCCGCCCCCCTGCGGTACCGGGGCACCGCCGCGGGCGCCGACTGTTCGTTCACCTGATTTTCGAAGCCTGAGGTTTCCGAGGTGCTACACCGGCTGAGAGACGAGATGCCGCTGCTGTAGCTGCCCGACAGGACCGGGGAGTTGGAGATCAGTCCTGGGGAGTGATACTCCACTGGAGACGGGGTGAAGGACTGCACGGAGCCCTGCTCCGACCGAAAAGGAAAGACACGTGAGAGCGGCAGAGTCGGGGACCAGAGGCAGGAACGCTGGGTGGGCTGGGTGGGCTTGCAGGACGGAGCCCCCACCTCCACGCAAGTCCTGAAGCCCTAGCCCCCAGCACCTCAGAAGGTGGCTGTATTTGGAGATAAGACTCTTTAAAGAGGTTGACTGAGTTGAAATGAGGCCAGCAGGGTGGGCTCCAAGCCAATCTGACCCGGAGTGTGGACACACAAGAGGTTCCCGTAATGCAGACACAACCATGACCGCCAGGCACAGTGAGAAGGCTGGCCCAGCTCAAGCTGGACCCTCCGGAGAAGAGAGGCGCCTAGGGCCTGCTGCACTTCATTCCGCTCTCACTCCGGAATCCTGAGTGAGGTTGCAATCTGCAGCCCTCAGACTCTACTGGCCTGTGTGTGTGTGTGTGTGTGTGTGTGTGTGTGTGTAAACTGTCAGAAGGCGCAAGCACCGGGCAGAAAGAGATGGAGAGAGAGACAGTGAGAAAGCACATCCAATAGGGTGTGGTCGGGTTGCAGTCCCTTCTCCATTTGTCCATCCTGTTGGGATCATGAGCAAGCACACATGCCACCACAGGATCTTCAAGCCACAGGGCTGGGGGGGGTGGGGCAGTGATTTCTCACTTTCCCTCTCCCTCTTTGTCTCTGGCAAGTACACAGCAAAAACCAAAAATAGATGTTATGTGCGTATGTATATATGTACGTGTGTGTGTATATATGTTAATATATATACACAATGGAGAACTACCCAGCCTGGAAAAAAAGAATGAATTCTGTCATCTGTGACAATACAGATGAATGTGTAGGACATTTTGCTAAGTGAAATAAGCCAGGAACAGGAAGACTAATATTGCATGATCTCACTTGCAAGTGGAATCTATAACGTTGCATCACAGAAGTAGAGAGGCGAATGGTAGATACTGAAGGCTGGGAACACACAGGGGTGAAGGTGTGGGGAAAGAGAGCTCTAGGTCAAGGGAGCAAGGTTTCAGTTAGACAGGAGTAATAAGTTCTGGTGATATGTTGCACAGCACAGCGACTACAGTTAATAATACTAGATGTATTATTAATACTAAGTATATTTCTAAATGACTGAGAGTAGGGATTTTATGTGTTTTTATCACCAACCACTAATAGACAAGTGAGGTGACAGGCATGGTAATTAGCCTGATATGATCATTCTACACATGGAATAAAACCTCACATTGTACCTAATCAATATAGACGATTATTATTTGTCAATTAAAAATAGAGTTTCAAAAAGTGTTTTAGCATGTTAAAGTCTTGCGATAAAGAATGTTGAATAACTTTGTTCAGCCCAGTGTTTTCTAAACTTATTTGGCCATAGACCTTTTTTTTTTTTTTTCACTGAGAACGGCCTATAAAACTAATACTCTATGGGGCACACTTGAGAAATGCTATCGTAGGGTAACTTTACCTTGGTCTGTCTGTCTCTCTCTCTCACTTAAGAAAACAATGTGGGTAGACAAATCCTTCTGTTTTGTAGGAGCCTAAAATGAAACAAGACTAAGAGCTCCAGAATCACTGCTATCTTGGTAAAAACTTAGACCTCAAATTTAAAATAAGGCAAGTACGCTTAGTCTTCTCTACAGGGTCAACCCCATCATTTGATTACTTCAAGAAGCCCCACTACCTCTTATTAGTGTAGCAAACTGCACACTAATCATAGCAAAGGTAGTAACTTGGTAGCAGTGTGCCCTCTACTGCAACTCAGGAGTTACAACACAAACGTTTGATCTAGTTTCTCTTTCTTCAAACCCCATTTAAAAGACATGGCTCCAAGGCTGCATATGGCCCGTCAAAATATATGCAGATCTGCTGACAGATAGTATACACCAGCTTGCTAACTAGGACAATTGGATAGCTACTGAGCATTTTCAGTCTTTGGGTTCTTTTTATTTCCTAAGACTTAATCTCTAAGACTTCTTACTGGCTTATTACTACTCTGCAAAATCAAGCTGAAAAACACTGATAATCCAGTAACAATACGTGAGAGCGCTTTGCGAGTGGGAGTAAATGCAGAGGTGCCGCAGCCCTGATGCATTCCTTCCCATCACGTCCAGGTGACAGGCCACAGCTTCCAGAGCATCTGCTCTCACATACACTTTGTAACAGCTACTTTGCAGAATGGCAACAAAACTAGCAAATAGTTTGGTCTCCCCAGCAAATGTCTGCATCGGAAATTTTGGCAATGCCAAGGAAATCACATGTCTTTATGATTTTTCCCCCTTCATTTCTTTTCTTTTTTCTTTTTTTCTGGTTTTATTTTCCAGAGTCTCAATTTCTTTGAGCAACTATCCTTAACAACACAGATGCGGTAGATCACAACCTGCCCGTATGTGTTTGTCGAGGCTAATCTGTGTTTTTCACATTAACTACAACTGTCTCCTCCACAAAAAGGACATGGAGCACGTAAATCTGAAGTCATTCGGGTACACGATCATTCTTTCCACCTCATATTTGCCTCTGGTGCAGTGACTCTGAATGCTAGGCTCGCATATGTAATGGCAATCCTTGCAGCCAGTCTGATTCAATTTGGATAGACACTAAATGTTATTCTTGCTCTTCATTAGAGATTTAATATGTTTAGAAATGTTAAATAGCCTGTGTCTACATACCAATCCAAACGCCTGACCTTTAAAGCTTTCTCCTTTGGTCCCTAGAAATTCTCTTATCCATTTTTACCATGTTATTTTCATGATCAAGTATATATCTCTTTTTTAAAAAAAATATTTATATTATTAATCATTATTATTATTTCATTTGACCAGAGAGAAAGAGAGAGAAAGTGAGAAAGCAAGCCACCAGGTCCAGGACTTGAACCAAGGTCATCGGCCATGTGGGAGCCCAACACCTTAACCACCATGCCACCTGCTGGCCCCTCAAGTATGTACTGCTAATGTAAATGAGATCGCTGATAAAAAGTATTAAAAGAGAGACAGTTGTGTTTGGTTTTGTCAAAATGGGTGAGGGATGATGATAAGGGCAAAAAGTCCCAGAAGAATATTTAGTATGATGGTTGATAGTTTTCTGTGTGTGTGTGTGTGTGTGTGTGTGTGTGATGTGCCATAAACCAAAAACCAGGCTGGAAGTGTCCTAAGAGGTACATCAGGACCACATTTCTTTCCTCATCCAATAGACACTGACTCTAGTTGGAACATTTTCATGGTCACCACTTAGAAAATGAAGCTAATAATCTGGAACCAAATGGCTGCCTACACAGAGGTGGCTCCCCCAGGGGAAAGCCCAGGGCTGTTTTCATACCCACCTTCCCCAACCCTTTCTTTATACGCTCTTGGCCTCATCTGTGCACATGAAAACACTTCTTGATGTATCTGGGATAAGCTTTAGGGGGAAAAAGGAACCTGAGCCAGTTTCTAGCCTCAGTCTAAAGGGGGCCTGTACCTTCAATGGCGATCGCCCAGCAGGTGAGGGGGATACTGACGTTGTGTGTCTTGCTGGTGAAGCTGTAAACAGATGGAGAAATAGTTCAGTTCAGGAAAACCAGACAGTTGATCGACTGTCTACAAATGCCTTCTGTGTACTAACCCAGACAGATGACTCAGTGCACAAGGGCCTCCTAAGCACAGCAGGGCAGGGACTGGGGGAGGAGCTAAGACACCTGTCTAAGACAGATGCCTTCACAGAGGATGGCATTGCCAAGACACGAGGCAGTTAGTGAAAAGTTCGCAGTGTGTTCGTGAAGCTTTGACCAAAGAGGCAGGGCCCCAAATTGGTCCAATCAGTGTCTTTGTCATTTCCCCCAAGTCCAGATCCTTCTCTACTGCTTCATCTTATTTCCTAAGGTGCTCTTAGGTGTGAGGGAACAGAAAGCAGTCCTTAAAAAACTGACCTTGAGGTCAAGAGGCTGACCTTGGCCTGAATAGCAATGGGAAGACCAGGGACACCCAGGCAGCTCAGAACAGGGCCACAGAATCTATCTAATCTGCCTCTACTTTTACACCTCCAGTACTCCCAAAACAGATGGAAGACCCTGGGCCGGGTCTATACAAGAGATGGGCCATGTTCCATTTCTCCCCTCAATGTCTGCACTCAGGTCTTCCCTTTGTCCCCCGGGGGTCGTGTGCTAAGGGTTTCATCATCTGGCAAAGATGAGTGATCTCTGTTTCTCCAACCATATTTTCAAGTCCTACACTGGGGACACAGCACGTGCAATGGCATGACTCTCTGGGGTGTGCTTATGGATCGAACCCAGCTCTCTAAAGCATAACCATGTACCCTAAAAGCTGGCTGTGCCAGTCAGTAGGGTCAGGACAAGCTACACTTCTCAGTTCCACATAGAAAGGTTCAGTGAATTCAGGGCTAGATGCTCTGTGATTAGCTGTCACTCTTCCAGCTGTCACCCTGAGGCTTCTAACTTGCAAGAGAACTATGAAAAGGCTGAAAGACAGACAGTTACAAAGCCCCACAACAGTGACCACAGATGATGACATAAGGACAGACCATGAGAGCAATCAGTGCAGAAGGGAAGGCAGCCCTGCCAAGTGTAGTTGGGAAAGGTCAGGTTGCCTTCGTGTTCTGAGACGTCAGGGATTAGGGAAAGTGGTCCATTATTATCCCATGGGCCTTGTGCAGCCCCTGAAGGCTGGGGCATGCTGTCAGCACGCCACACACCAGCCTTAGTCCTCCTATCCTGTCAACTACGGTGTTGATTATGGGGAAAGAAATCGCCTATACATAGAGAAGCCCTTGCCGACTACCAAATGTTTCCGCCATTGCTGGGCAGACGTTGAGGTTCTCTATCTCTGGGAACCCTCTTTCTCTTGACTTAGGCACTCATGGACACCACCATGGTAGCTCTGGCACAGAGTGAACAGTCACAGAGATACCTATTTGTCTAGAATGGCATTTTTCCACCGACACCTAAAATATATTGTCCCATCAGTATCCTTGTCGTCCACTTTGAACGGGCCTTGAAATCTACCATCGACCTTACTGTTCCTTAAAAAACGTGTTACAAGTTCTCAAATTTCGGGACACAACCAAGAGTGCCTGACTCTGTGGCCATCATGAATGAAATACCAGTAGTTGGTTGATGCGTGTTACTCTGGCATGGTCACTCTGATAGAGAATGCAGACAATAAGCTTAAAGTTATTTTTGGTTCTATTTAAAGATCTTGTGTTTATTTAAAAAAACTTATTGGTAATGTGACTTTTAGCTTTGGTAAGTATAGAATATATCGTTTATTTTAAAAAGAGATAAAGTCAGCTTTCTTAGTAAAAAAGAAAATAGAAGAATGACGTGTTCGTAGACAGCAAAGGAAACATTATCATTCCAGAAAAATCTGTGAAGAAAATGGTATCCTATTTTATCTTGTTTTCAGACTGTTGTATCTGTACATCTTCATATCTTTCCTTGCCATAGGAAACTGCTGAAAAGACCCTCCATGCTACTGGAACAGGCAGGCCCCTCTTTAAAAAAATAAAAAGCAAATGGTTTGTTCAGTAGGAAAGGGGGCCTGGTTCTGCCCTAAAGTCACAAAGGAAGTCTCTTAAGAACCTCAAAACCTAGTGAGCAGAAAAATCACCTAAAAGATGTGATAAAAATATACACTCTAGGGCCTTATCCCAGAAATACTAACATTCTGATTAAGTAGGTCTGATATTAGATCCTAGAATTTGCCTCTTAAATCGCTGCCCTAGAGGATGCTGTGCCCTGAAACAACCCAGCCCTTTGATACATATTAACCTTGACTACAGATCTCTCAAACCAACAAGTAACTATGGATGCAAGGTTAGTTATTCCCAGATTCCTATTAAAGTCACTGTTTGTCAGTTCCTACACAGGGGCACGTGAAAACCTTGGCATCAGTCCTGAATAAGATTGAAGAACGTGGCTGAGTTAGCGGAGGCTGTAAGAATGGGAAAATTCAAGGAAAGGACAGAGAATATGCTAGTAGGCTGGCAGCTGGGGTACCGCCCCAAATTTTGAGGATGGTGCTTAGAGGAGGGCACTCAACCAAATCTGTCGGAGGGGTTCCTTAGGAGTAGTCTACTGTTGGACTCCATGTGACAGAAGTTCAGGAAAGAGGAAAACATAAATAAATTATGCTGCTAACAAGATTTTTTACCTCAGAAACCAAATGCCTACCTTTCTCTGAGGAATTCAGGACAAGTTGGAGTTGTCAATAAAAGTTAATTTATAAAAGTGATTGTTCAAATGCTTCAAATACCCACCAGTCTGTGTGGGTCTTGGAGGGACAGGGGGAGAGATAAGTTTCCCACTATCCGACATGTTCTTGGCTTCCTTCCCACTGTCCAGGCTCCAGCTGCTAGGGGTGGGATTCACAGCTGGAAGGAAACAACACAGCTAAAAACACATGGTCCATCTTTGCCCTTCAGATGCTAAAGATCTTAGGAGAAAGTCCGAACTATCCAGAATGAAAGAAATCAACTGGATTAAAATAAAAAAGCAAAAAAAAACCCCAGGCAACCTCTTGAATACTAAACCTTTATTTAATTGGCAACCTAACAGTTATGGTTGACATTTAATTGGGTGATAGCGTGTCTCTTTATTTCCCTCAAGCTGTCAAACAGAACTACAAATCTCTACACTGGAGTGTAAAAATTGGTTGAGAATTACAAATGTATTTAGATACTGGAGAACAGATGGAAGATGTAGTTACTAGACTATTTAAAAACCGAGTTTATAGTGGAAATTTTGGGACAAGTGGCACCTAAAAAGGGAAAAGTCAATGGCAGGCCAATGCTTGGATAATCTGGCAGAATTAATGGGAAAGGACAACAAACCATACCATCTCATTAACCCACTCTGTGAGGAAAGGGCCGTGGTTTCTAAACCCAATGGATTATACTAAAGAATGTCCTGAAACAATAATTTGGAGTGTTGACAGGATCATTCTTGCGGTCTGCTCCGTGCTTCAGTGAGATACAGAAATGCGGAGCAACCCTGTAGGAAAGGGCGGGGCATCAGGGTAATACCTATGCAACCAGGTTTACAACATCGGCTTAGAGTTGTAGTAGCTCACTCCCTGGACAGACACTGCCATCTGGTGGACATGTTAAGGATTTCAACATTTTACCACTGCCTTTATTTAATGGGGTGGAATTACTGGTCTTAAAATACATCTTTCTTATTCCTTTTATATTTGCTTTGTGGTTCTCTTTTGTAGAAGGGATGAGGGAAAAAAAAAACCCTCATTCTGTTTTCTACTGACGAAGATCAATGTATGACTTGGGACGTTAAAGTTAAATTTGTGTTTTAAAATAATTTCGGCTAAGACCTCGCTGATTGCCATCTCCCAAGGAAAGTTTTAACGTTAATATATCAGTGTACCCAAATGACTATACAGCCTAGTTCTTAATGAGGGCAATTAAAGAGCACTCTATTGAGACATTTCATTAGTGACTCTTGATTTACTGGCCCGTGGGACTGCTCCTATTTTTGAAGCTTGACCCTGAGAGAGGTAAATGGGTGACTAGCTGTAAGCCCCGACTCCCACGGTTGAGGAAGTCACATTAAATCCAATCTTCGTCCTCTGCAGTGTCGCAGACTGATGCTAATTGGCTATTAACTGCTACGCATGTATTTTGTTCTCATTTTTCTGCGTGTGACCTTGAGGCCGGGCACACACTCCATTATGCACTGGATTGCAAGTCTTAAATGGTGCCTAATTGTACGAGAGCTGTATCTGAGTCACCACAAACAATAGATGAGCTGGCCCAATGAGCATTGTAACAGAGACAAAGGATGGGACCCGCAGAATCAATTTGGGAAGTTGCTATTTTCATTGTGCTGAACAAGTAACATAATTGGCAACTTTTTTCAGGAAGAGCAGGCATTGCCTGGGTGACTTGCTAATTGACAAAAGAAAAAAAAAAAAAAGCTGTTAAACAAGGAGTTTCTAACTTGCTCAGATTCTGCCATTAAATTTTACAAGAGAAAAGTTTTGGAAGAATGGGTCATGAATGACCGTCTTTCATGAATTCCCAAGGAGCACACTAGTCCTGGTCATTAAGGATGTGGGGCGCTGCCTTCCACACACACACAGGGAAGACTAGAGAGAATGAGGACAAAACAAACCCTTACACGTTCCAGGACTGATGAAGGGGTTGGCTTGATACCCACCTTTCTCAGGTCCGGAAAGATTTGGGTCACTGCGTGGCAAGGCCCCATCTCCAATATGATTAAACAGCATCTTCTGGAAAGGTACAAGAATCTATTTTTATGATCAATATGCTGACATATGAGGCCGTTTAGAAAATGAGATCATTATCTCCTTACTGAAACTTTGTGTTCCAAATAATTTTTAGATGGTATGATGAGCCTAGGAACAAAGAATTCAATTTCATTTGGGGGGGGAGCAGAGTCTGAGGTTTTAAGGAAAAGAACACTTTAAAAAGTAGGCATTCGATTTTTCAATGTGAATGGTGAATAAATGTTCGTAATAAAATGTAGAGGAAAAAAATAACTGGCATAGGGCAGTTGAGCTGCGGCGTACTTTACCAATGCTAGACTGGTGATATGAGATGCAAGTAAAAACGAGAAATACCAGCTCCAAGAAATCTGCAGAATGCATTGAGCTCTTCCACATTTTACATCTTACATTAACTGAAAAGACATGACGTGTTGATATACTATGATTTATAATCTACAAAAATGCCAGTTTTACATGGTTCTACCTTAAATGATAAAAGACAAAGTGTCAAATCTTTTAAAATACTGGGCTGTCGGGCAAGTTATGACACAGTTTTGCATAGAACAGTACGTCATGACTTGCCCGAAGACCTAATAGACGCATTATAGCCATGTGTATTACTGAGACTTTGGCAATGTACACACTGCCTCAAAATTTTACCAAAAGCAGAAAACTTGGGAGGGTAATCAGCAAAGGCTTTCTCAGCTCCCCCGTGCTGGTATCACATCCTCCCAGAGCGGATGGAACAGACTGAAATTCCCTTGCAACATCAAGTGACAGAGGAAATAGGGCTGGTTAGCTGGGTCAGCCGAACGCACTCAGATATCATTTCTGCAAGACACCAGTGCTGCGCAGAGGAGGTATCCGGGGACTTTCGGGAAGATCACACAATCAGCAAAGATAAACCAATCAAGCCAAATCGCACTCGCTCTCAGCTCTCATCCACTTCCAGATGCAGCTACAGACTTCTGCCAGAATGGTGTAGAAAAATAGAGAAATTAGCTCTGTAGAAATAACTATTTATCTCTGTTCCCCAATCATTCCCAAATAATCTGCACAACTTAGAGCTACACATGAACCCACAGCTTTGAAAACACCCTTCAAAGTTCTTCAAGTGCCCCAGGGCCAAGCCCATGGCCCTGCCCTCACTCGGACTAGGAGGGATCATGTCAAAACCAAATCTGGGGTCCAGCTACGATGATATGCACTGCTAGGATGCTGTATAACACAGGGACCACTCAGGCCAAGGTTCAATTCCTGGTCCAACCTGAAGGATGGATTCAGTGTGCTCCTGTAATCCCAGCGATTTCGGAGGCTGAGGGAAGACGAGCACAAGCTCAAAGGTGACCTGGTCACACAGCAAGATCCTGTCTGAAATAGAGCTGGGCATGGTGGTGCATGCCTTAGCCCCACCTGACGCAGGAGGATCATGGCCTATGCTGGGTTTTAGAATAACAAAACCCAAACAAAAAAACAAAAATCAAACTAAAACTAAGTGTAGGTGGGAAGACAGGCAGGGAAAACCTGAGGACTCACCCACTTTTCCCTCAATGTATTAAAGAAGAAGGGCAAAGGCACAGAAATTGCTGCTGAACTTTTTGGTACCTTATTAGGGAAATGACTGCAGCTCTCTTCTATACAAAGGTATGGGCAAAAGAAAACCACAGGGTAGCCTTGAGGCTTCTCCTCAAGGGTTTTTAGCTGATGTAGGACATCCCCCAGATTTCTGCTACATACACATGCAAACACACACAGACAACTCATTCACCCTACTACCCCTTGTGAGGTGTGAGTAGCAGCCAAAACGTAAAGTCAGATCAAGAATAAAATCATTTCCCATTTCCCTTTCACTTCACCGCTCAGGTAATAACCAACATATCTCTATCAGAAACAGGGCTCAGACAGAAACCAACAACAGCCAGGAAACAGAGGTGCACTGCCCGCCCAGTCGGACTTGTTTTCTGACCCTGCCTATTTGGTTGCTGCTTTTGGTAGCTATCGCGTTTCTGCAGAGAGATGTAAGCAATTCCAGCTCTGTCCTTGTTTTCTAGTTTCTCCATCCCACAAAGGGTACCTGAGAAGGCTCCACGGGGGTTGGATAAATGGCACTGCATGGTCTCTCTCTTGGGGACAGGCAAGAGTTTTCTCTGGAATGTTTGTGTTTGTCAGATAACAAAGGAGAAGCTGGGAAGACAAGGAAAGAAAGCATTATCAACATTGGGGTGGCACTGGCCTGTCTAGAGGAGAGGGCCTGAGGGTGGGGCAGCTGACCATGGCTCAGGAAACTATAGCCTCAGTTCCCGAGGGCTGGGAAGCTCTCTGGGCACCCTTAGTCTACACACACTCTGGCACTGACCTCTGGCACTTGATGGAGCAGAACTTGTCACATTAGGTGAAGCAGAATGAGTAGAACTCAAGCTTGAGGTAGATGGACTTGGCTGGAAATAGACAGGGAGCTCTTGTCACACACTGTTCAGAGGCTTCACACAACAATGACATATTTGAAACAAAATCATCAACACTTTTTTTTTTTAGTTAGCAAAACACGAACAAAAACAAAAGCAAACAAACCAAAAACCACCAGAGAGGAAAAAGAAAAGCCATTCAGAAATACAGAAAAATTTAACTACCTTGGACTGATAAGGAAGCCTGCCTGAATCAATCAAGAACCTCAGATTTCGACTATTGCCAGAGGAATGCGTTCACATTAGTTTCAGCTACAATCTGTGACTTCACAGCATTCCATGGCTAAAGTGCAAGCACAAATGACTTCTAGTCTTGGGCACGCAAACAGGTAAGGGTTTCTAAAAGGCATAGCATGTGCCTTCTCGTTATCTTCAGAAATGTGGTCCAAAGCACGAATTTGGAAATGCATGTTATGCCTTTTATCCAAAGATGGTGAGGAAAATTTAAGCTTAGTGTTACTTAGCTATCATAAATACCGCATTAGTGGTGTCTAAATAAAACATTTGGTTGCAAGAGTTATGCTGGCTTTAAAAATCCCTTAAGACTACATTTTTTTATTTTGTAAAAAAAAAAAATTTGATTTCATATGGAAATCTTCCAACATATACATAAGAAGAAAAATTTTTATAATGGACCCTCAAACCATGTCTTCTTAAATAAAAAAAAAAAAAGAAAAAAAAAAAAGAAAGAAAAAGCTACTGAAAAATGCTAAGAGGCAGATAGCGTGTGGTGACATGTTCCAAGTGTCCTGGACTGAAGCAGAAGGCAGAGGTGGGTCTCAGAGTTAACCCTGTGCAGCTTGCCTGGGCTTTTCCATAGCTTGCTTGTGTCTTCTTAGAGCGATGGGGTGGTTTTGAGAGAAACCTCTTTGTAGACTCCAGAGACCAATAAAGCAATAAGAGTGTTTAAGGGTTTGCCATTAAGTCAAGTTCTTGCTCGTAGGTCTGTTCATTGTCACAGTAGAATGAACAGAAATGCTCGTGATTGAGACAGAAAAGGAATAAACACACCAGACAAAAAGCTAGTAAAGTACCTGCATGTTAAAGACTTCATCAGAGCTTTCTGATTGCCCTGTAATATTGCTTACTTCAGCAGAAGCTTGAGAGGACAGTGAGGAGGAAGAGTATCGGTTGACAGCTGGGTAACTTAATGGGCTGTTTTGGGGGGAAAAAAATGGTCGTTAACTCAGTCTCTGAATTGCAGTTTATCACATGCTGGCATGGTATAAAACTGAAAGGACAAAAAATACATCCCATTTTGCTGTCTTCTGTTGGCCTCAGTATCATCAGATGTTTGAGTTTATTTATTTCTCATGCTGCTGCCGTTTTACCAGTGGCAGATGTCTGCAGCTGCCTCACGGGTTAATTATTTCATTAAGAAATGGCGTATTTGACAAATTGTGCCATCAAGAATGAGAGAATCATTCCAGATCATCTTGTGGGGATGCCAAATTGTACGGTAATTGAGAATATGACTTACCTGCGTCGAGGAATTACCCTGGTACCATCTGGGCTCATAGAAGCAGGTGCGGAATTTCTACACACACGCGGGCTTCCATTAGGGAAATGGACAGGGCTGGCTTGTATACAAGCAGAGAACTCCTAAAGATTCAGGAAAGAAGTATTTCCTTACGGTGATGATATAGGCAAAGAAACGTAGGCGCTGTTTTAGTGTAGTGGATGCACAGCCTAACTGCTCCGCCATCTTCACCTAGGGGCCTATTACAGTACGTTCCACAATTACCAAGCTCTCCCTGGCTTACGCTTTTGTTTTTATAAAAGGTAAGCAAGGCAAATAACAGACAAAGCGATTTTAATATTCAAGGGCTCCCTGGGAAATGGTGTAGTGTGGCAGAAAAGCCAAAAGATGTCACTGTTGGATTCTTTACTGTCTCTCTAACACAAGGTGAATGGCAGTGGTCAGACTGCCCCACCAGGGACACTCGGCATACAGACCTGTATCCCTAAGCTCGACTTCATCACGAAGAACTGGTCCACCAGCTTTTTGTGAAGGGGTCTCATATCTTGAGGTACAAATTTCTCATGCACGGCCAAACCAAATTCCAGAATTTGTGCCTTGATAACAACATAAGGAGGAAAAACCCACATCAGCAACCATCTCTCACTAGGAACCAAACACCGTCTTGACATATTGCGCGCCTCTATCGTTAATCATCTGGATCTGATAAGATAGACACAACCATCACTTTGGAGGTGAGGAAATGGAGGGTCAGAAAAAGTCCTGCGTATAGTAAAAGACAAATGGGATTTGAACTTGGGTCTAATTCCAGACTTGACTTCTCAATACCCCACGCTTCTTTCCCATATATTTTAGATTTGTAATTACAACCTTTCTTAACACTTATGTGTCCCTTTGGGTTCTTCTGGCCCTTCCCAGGATGGGGTGGGAAATGGGGCAGGATTTGTTCCCTGATAGGAAGGTCAGGTAGTTGTCCTCAGGGATCCATTCTCTGATTGACACCATCTTGCCCATGTTACCCTCCTCTCTTCCATCAGGTTCTTTTGGGCCCATTCATCCTGCCCATAAATTTTGAAAATCTGGCAGGGAGCAGGGAAAAAAAATGAACAGGAGTCTTATAAAAGTTACTGTACATCTCGTTTTTGTTTTAAAATATGATTCTTGTTCACTTATTGCAATGCAAGAAGGGAACAGGTTCTCCTTTTTGAAAATAAGTTTCCTGCTGGGGGAACCTACAAAGAGATGAATAAAAACATTCCAATTTTCTTTGTTCAATAGAGCACAATTCCTTTGATTTGAGTAGTTCTGTCTTTTATGTTTTAAAAAATTCTCCCATGCCATTGTGGTCAAGAGAACAAATGCTGCCGGCTGGAAGAAAAATAAACCACACGTAGCCCTAGCCTTTCATTTTTTTCAACTAGTGAAGATTCCAGGTTGAAGCTCTAGTCAGACAGGAACTAGCCCTGGTGGGTTGGAGAACCCATCACGTTCTCTAAAGGACACGACTAAGGCAACTTCTGCTCTGGATGTCCACCTGCCATGAGGACATTTCTACGAAGAGAAAAATATCCTGAAATAACCAGCAAGGACATCTTTGACAGAAACAGTTATAGTGAAGAGTATATGTGAGGTCTAAAGGGAGATACTGATCTCTGGGATGAGGAGGTAGAAGGGATACAGGAGTTGAGCCTACTACAGGAGCTACAGGCTTGTCTGTTTCAAACATTAGCTATCAGGAGGCCTTTCTATTGTTTAGAGAATGTTCCAAGTTGGGTTCTCTATGAAGGAGTCTTTGGCATGGAGATGAGGGGATTTGGGGAGTAATTTGGGGTCCTCCTGCAGGAAGCTGAGACAGAGCAGGACTTAACACACACACAGAATACACTGAAAGAGGCCTGACAGGGGTGCAGTGGGAAAATGCAACATGGGATCACCCACATGGGAAGGTTCCAGGTTCCCATGAGGAAACCTCCCCGAGTATACCAGGCACGTGTGTGCTGATGGTCCTGGGCTGGGGGTGGCTGGGGTAGATAGTGGTGGCAAGACTCTATTGAGGATGCTATCTCTCTGTATCTCTCACTCGTGGAAGAAATAAACCTATTTTTTTTTTTTAAACAAAAGGTAAAAAGAAGTTTAGCTACATGGTAATCCTGTCAGTTTCTTTCTAAATCAGAGATATTTGGCCTGTCACTGTTGTCCCATGTTGAGCCCAAATGGTCAGGCTTTATTTCATCTCCTCTGTCTTGGATGGGGGCCACTGACAAGATAGTGACCTTGGGCCAGGTGGCTCTCGGGATCAAGAAAATTCCTGAAGGACTGACAGTTTGAAAGTATTTGTTGAGGACCAAGTTTTTAGTAGATGTAGTAACAAGTTGTTCCTGGAAGGACCATTGAGGCAGCCTTTCTCTGTACCTGTAGATAGTTTAATCTGAACTACTTTGTAGAGGTCCCTAGAAAGATGGTGCCCGCTCTAGCCCATCCCCCAATTTTAGGGTCCCCTAGAGACGATGTGACTTGCCCATGGTAACATGACTGTCATTTGTACAGCTTGTCCTGACAGGGCTCTCGTATTTCTAGGCCATGATTCTTTCCACAAGGTCCCAGGAACATCATCAGGCAGGACATGGAGAAAATAAAGGCTCCCTGATTTTATTTTTCTTGAGCACTTTCTTGGCCTTGAACTACCATTTTAATTCAGAGAAAAGAATCGAACCAGGCTGAATATTGCAGATATAGTTACGGGGTGAAGTGAACCACTCATAGGAGACTGTGCTCAAGGAAAATGCAGATACTTAAGACTTAACAGAGGTTACAGTAATTCTCTAACCCTAAAGTACTTATTTCTAGCATCTGTAACACTCGTGGGGGTCACACTTGACTTATTTTCTAATTCTTCTCTTTTTCAGAAGCTGTACAACTGACATTGTTCCAGCCCTGACACTCATCTATGGCCACTTCTCTCCTTCTGGTATCAGGTTTTGTGGCCTAAGCCTGCAAGGCATAAATTATGACTAAAACCAGATACAGCCTCATCATTTTCTAGTCCAAAAGAGCATGTTTCATTTATTGATTAGGGATTAACAAGTGGGAAGAGATGGTTATGTCCTTATTTATTATACATATTCCACTTTATACAGGAATAAAATGTCTTTAATTCCCATTTAGGCCAGCCTTCAACCACGGATCCTCCCTCAGAGGTTTTCCAGTTATTTTCAGGCTGAGGTCTATCAACAGGGCCACAGTCGGCAACAGAGTATTCATTCTACTTCTTCATATTTTAATAAACTGTGCTTCTTTTTAGTAGAAAATGATGAGTGTTATCTCGATTTGTCCATACCATATAACCTATAGGCTTAATCTGTAAAGCATGATACTGTTTGAATGCAAACTCTAATGACTGTCCACTTCCTTACTATAGTAAGTAACAATCTCATTCATTCATTTACTTTGACTTTGCCTGAACCTGTCTGACTACAAAATTTGGAGTGAAAAGTTGGCATTGAGCTGTCAGTAAGACTTCAGGGACAGAACATTCCAAGAACGATCTAAAAGACTATGAAGTTGTTCATTATAATATACTGCCTTAGCCTACTCATTGTTAAATCTATTTTTGCATCCACTGGGAAAAACAAATAGACATTAGGAATTTGGGATATGTTACAAGTGAATCTGCCACCCCTGCTGGCCAGCTTCAGTTATACCACTAAGGTAGAAAATCAGGTAGATGGGTCCCTGGGTGAGCAAGCACATATCTAGGCAAGACAGAGAACAGGTGATCAGCTTCTGCCTTCTTTACCTGCTCAAGCATCAGCTCTCTTAACCGCGCAATTTTCTCTCCATCTTCAGGGTGACTTAAGATATATTCTTTGATGAAAAATGCCTAAAAAGAGAAGGATCAGTTAGTCTACTTTAGGTGAATAACAAAGGAAATAGAAGACACAGTTTTTTGTTTGTTTTGTTTTTTGAGAGATTTTGCTATAAGGTGTGTGCACTCTCCAGAGAGACAGACAGAAATAGAAATCACTCCCCAGGAAGAATGGCCATGCCGCAATCTTTTCTCCTTCATTCTCCTCTTGGGATTTTGGGCATCCATGCACACGCACATGACTGGCATGAGTTTTAAGCCACTGGGTCTGAGACTTAAACTGCAGTTTACTATGTGGGAGTCCAGTGACATAATCATTGTACCATCTGCTGGTCCCCACAGTTGTTTTTAAAGGCTTGGCATCTTTTGAAAAATGACACCATTATAAACTACATTTGAGGACAGATGGAGTGATTCCTAGTATGGGTGGTCGGTCAGAAAAGGTGGATAAGAAAAGGATTGTTAATGAAAGAACAGAAATTGTACAATAAGTATCTTTGGTAAAATAAACAAACAGAGCAAACACAGATCAGTAAGCCATTAGGTCATCGAGAAAGTCGTAATGTGTTTTTCTATGCAAAATGCACCACAACTTTCCCGGTGACTCAGTCCAAATAAACTGCCTTGGATTCGGCATCACCAAGATGCTGGCTTCACCATTTAGGATTAGTTAGGGCTTTTTGTTTAAAACTAAGAGAACAGATGAAAAGCCTACTTAAGGAATCTTTTGAATAAGATTAGACTTCTTATACCCCTAAACCTCCTTGCTCAGGGAAATTACTTTAGATAGACATTTATTAAATGGTTTTGATCTTCACAATACTTTGTTTATCCAAGAAAATACATGTATGCAAGCATGTGCATGCACACACACACACACACACACACACACACATAACAAAGGAAATAGAAGACACAGTTTTTTGTTTGTTTTGTTTTTTGAGAGATTTTGCTATAAGGTGTGTGCACTCTCCAGAGAGACAGACAGAAATAGAAATCACTCCCCAGGAAGAATGGCCATGCCGCAATCTTTTCTCCTTCATTCTCCTCTTGGGATTTTGGGCATCCATGCACACGCACATGACTGGCATGAGTTTTAAGCCACTGGGTCTGAGACTTAAACTGCAGTTTACTATGTGGGAGTCCAGTGACATAATCATTGTACCATCTGCTGGTCCCCACAGTTGTTTTTAAAGGCTTGGCATCTTTTGAAAAATGACACCATTATAAACTACATTTGAGGACAGATGGAGTGATTCCTAGTATGGGTGGTCGGTCAGAAAAGGTGGATAAGAAAAGGATTGTTAATGAAAGAACAGAAATTGTACAATAAGTATCTTTGGTAAAATAAACAAACAGAGCAAACACAGATCAGTAAGCCATTAGGTCATCGAGAAAGTCGTAATGTGTTTTTCTATGCAAAATGCACCACAACTTTCCCGGTGACTCAGTCCAAATAAACTGCCTTGGATTCGGCATCACCAAGATGCTGGCTTCACCATTTAGGATTAGTTAGGGCTTTTTGTTTAAAACTAAGAGAACAGATGAAAAGCCTACTTAAGGAATCTTTTGAATAAGATTAGACTTCTTATACCCCTAAACCTCCTTGCTCAGGGAAATTACTTTAGATAGACATTTATTAAATGGTTTTGATCTTCACAATACTTTGTTTATCCAAGAAAATACATGTATGCAAGCATGTGCATGCACACACACACACACACACACACACACACACATACTCACGCGTTTATCTGCAAACTACCGTATGATGGGAAAAAGAAGTGGACATAACAAATAACTTTATGTTTGCTCTATTTGTGTCAATTGTGTCCATTGTAGTCCTAAGTTTATATAATAATAAGGATATATATTTTGAAAAAAAAAATTTGTGAAAACCCAAGAAATCACAACTGAAAACTTTCCCTTCAACAATAGTACCCAATCCTCACCTCTTGGTACCTGGAAACTCCACCATTAACTGCAGCATCAATAACTCCATTCAGGCACATGGTCAGGGGATTAATATTCTGCATCTGTCTTGTCTGACATTGACTAATCAGAGTCTTCAGCTGCTGATTCTTATTTTCTAACACTTCAATTGCATTCTCCAGAGGACTCATTTCTACCTGCGAAGTAAGTGAACATAAATATATATTGGATTTGGTGACATTTAAGAAGAAAGACAAAGTAGATTATCCACGTTCTGAATTACCAGTATTCCCCCTTGGCTCCCATCAATATCTCTGCCAGCACTAGAATAGACAAGGACATGGAAGTCAAGTTGGCTATTCAATAGAAAGGTTTGGAAAGGGCAGGTAATTATGTTCATTGGTTGAAATATGGTCGGGATAATCGGCAACCATCAACTCTATATAAATTAGTATTGTAACAATCCATTTAATTCTTAAAATATACCCGAATATTGCCTGTATTTTTCTTCTCCATAAGCATGGCAAATTTTTATTTAAGGAAAAATTCAAATACAGTGGGATCCTAGCAATGGGAAATGTATTGCAGTCATGATTTGGGAAGTGGCTGGGAATATGGAACATGAGAGGATGGCTTCTTGGAGGGTGTGAGGCTGGAACTGAGTACTGAAAAGATGAAAATGATGCAGTAAGGTTAAGCCATGTATTTTGATGACAGTAACAGCATCAATAATAATGACTGAAATTGATAAAAGTAGATATAGATTATCCAAGAAAGATAGTTAACTGATAATTCTTCCTTGATTTTTTTCCC